TCCCAAAATGTAAGGTGTTGTGCACTTTTTGCGCAACGTTGGGGCCCCCATTACAGAATCAGGGACCTATCAGGATACAGTCCAAAAATGTCCAAAATGGGTGGTTTTTGGGCGTTTGCCAGCCCATGGTCCTTGATTTTGTAGCACAGTAGGGGTGCAGACTGGCTCTACAGAATCAAAGGCCTTTTGGGTGTCAACACCCCTGATTCTGTAGAGGAAATTGCAACCAGGATCATTTATGATCATTTATGTACATAGATAGTACTGTAATTATCGTGTGGGCAGTGGGAAGAGAGAAAGAAAAAAGCAGACGATTTTTCGTAAAGAGAGCCTTGAAAAGGACTTCTTGACCTCGACGTACCACAGGGCGGCCTCCCAGTACCGGTGGCTTGGCTCTGGGATTGATGGCGGGCAAATCCTTGTATCGGTCACAGAGTAAATGCTTCCGGTGAAACTCGGCATTCCTTGGGGAAAAACATGGCCATGCAATTTGTCCTGCCCACTAAAACCCCCACCTATTGAATATATTGGATTATCATCACCATTTTGATACCCGCCAGCTTCAGAACGATTACAAATGATGAAAAATGCAAGCTGTCCCTTCAGAAAATTGGCGTTGCAAAGTACAGTACTGAGCACAGAATTAACAACATTCTATCCGAATTATGTAATCAAGATTCACAACAAGTGAAATGCCTTGCTCCTGTGGTGCATCTTCTTCCTTTGCTCCTGTAGCTTCATCTTCGATGATTTCTTCCACTTGTCCGGGCTTGTACCACCATGATTTGCCATCACCGCGTCGTCCATCTCCACAGTTCCTCCGAACTTTCACTTTGTTCTTTCGACCAGAGACCTTTTCGACAACACCGCTGCATCCAGCGTACTTGCCTGCTAGAATCGTAACTTTGTCGTTGACAGAGAGAATGTCATCATCGACAACATCATTGTCCAGATTCAGTTGCCCATCGCTGCCATCGTTGAATCGTATAGACACCACAGAGATTGCAACCAACGAGGAGATCATAAATATCCTCATGGTCCTAAAACTGTGAAGTGCTTTGCAGTATGGAAACAAAGAGAATATGTTGATGGAATTTGAACATGTACAGGCAGATTGAAATAGCTTTGAAACTCAAACATGACTGGGATATGTTTGGACGTGCAATACTTCGTAACACTCCTCGTCTGAAAATGGACAAGGAAAAATGATGGAAAATGATGCAAAATGCCTCATTGAAACAAAAAAAATGCTAGGGTCACAAATCACCAAGCATCAATGTCATCACTTTCTGGCTTCTCAATGTCCAAGTAGTCGATTGGGTGGATTTTTACGACAACGCATTGCCATGAGTCCGAAGCTAAGAGCTTTGAGCCAAAAGAAGGTGAACCACTGGATGTTGTTTCTGCAAGCACCACTCTATTTCCAGTCTGCATTTCTCAACTGCATAATGGAATATATATAAATATATATACAAAAATAAATACAATTAGATAGAAATAAAATGTAATAGATAAAGAGTAGTTCTAGCAGCCACCAGACACCTACAACTCAAGGAAACTGCAGGGTTTTTGTCCATGGCACCTTCAGTTCACTGGCCGTTGTGCGCATGGTGGACTCGCGTTTGGATTGGTTCCGGCCTGACAGTCTTGAAATCTGTCAAAGGCGGGGACAAAGAACTGAGGATTCGAACGGCAGCAAAGAACAAAGGCATAATTTTGCAACTTTTGTAGGAATCACAGGAACTTTAAGTGTATCTCCTGGCTTTGAGCCCAGGTGACGCCTGGAATTGACTCTGTTTTAATCCCTTTCATATTTCCTAGTTATGGAGACAGCAAAGGATCCCTCAACCTTCTGATGAATGGCAGCCAGCACACGTGCAAATGCCTACTTCTTCTCGACTGCCGTTGCTATTGTCGAAGGATTTGGACTTCTTGAGAGCATCTGGTCATGCGGCCAAAATGTTGTGGCATATGTGGGAGGGAGCCTCTGCAAGAGTTTCTCCCATCGAATATTTTTTTTTACTTCAGGTTTGTATAACCCGTCAAGTGATTCGTTGGTACTTCTGCCCTCGCAAAAAAAAATGACCTCTGCAAGTGACTCTACAGACTTTAGACTTTAGACCATGATTAGTATGGCGTTAAAAAAAATGACATGGACAGAGTTATCAGGATAGGTGGGCATTGGAATTTGGGACCAATCTGGGAATCAATGACTGGCTGAAATCCTGAATCGTGTAGTCCAAACCCAATCAAGTTTCAGTTTCTAGCATAATGTAAACATTTGACAAATGTGTTTTCTGACTCAATTGGTTTTTCATCAAATTTCCCTCAAACAAATCCACTGAAACAGTGTTGTTCACCAGCCATTTTCACCTTCGGAAGGGCCTGAAGGGTCATCGGCCACCTTGTCAGCAGCCTCTGCCCCTTCCTCCGTGTCATCCTCGCTGGTCGCCTGTGACAACATGTGCCCCAAAAAATGCCAACTGCGGAAGAGGAAGCGCAGATCAGGAAAAAACCTCCTATGTAGACTGAGATGCATGTCAATTTCTCAATCCATCTATTTATCGATCTATCTATTTATCAATTTATCTATGATAAATTTATCTATCTATCTATCTAACGATCTATCTATCTATCTATCTATCGATCTATCTATCTATTTATCTATCTATCTATCTATCCATCTAGCTAGCTATATATCTATCTATCTATGTTATCTATCTAATCGATCTAATCTATCTATCTATCTATCTATCGATCGATCTATCTATCTATCTATCTATCTATTTATCTATCTAATCTATCTAATCTACCTAATTTTTCTAATCTATCTAATTTATCTAATCGATCTAATCGATCTAATCTATCTAATCTATCTAATCTACCTATTTTTTCTAATCTAATTTATCTAATCGATCTAATCTATCTAATCTATCTAATCTATCTAATCTATCTATCTAATCAATCTATCTAATCTATCTATCTATCTAATCTATCTATCTATCTATCTAATCTATCTAATCTATCTAATCTACCTAATTTATCTAATCTATCTAATTTATCTAATCTATCTAATCTATCTAATATATCTAATCTATCTAATCTATCTAATCTATCTATCTAATCTATAAATTCTATCTAATCTATCTAAACTATCTAATCTATCTAATCTATCGGATCTATCGAATCTATCTAATCTTTCGAATCTATCATATCTACCTATCTATCTATCTATCTGTCTATCTATCTATCTATCTATCTACATCAATCTTTTTGTTGTATTCATCTATCTATTTATCTACCTTACCATCTATCTTTCTATCTATCTACCTATCTATCTATCTCTCCATCCATCCACCCACACATCCATCCATCTATATTTAAATATATATATCTATCTATCTATCCTATCTATCTGTCTGTCTGTCTATCTTCACTTCTTTCTATCAAATCTAATCTGTCTTATCCTTATCTTATCTTTTCTATCTATCGATCTATCTAACTTACCTATGTATATTTCTATCTATTAAAAAAATATCTCTCCTATCGATCTATCTATCTATCTATCTATCTATTTTTTTATATTCATCTATCTGTCTATCTATCTGTCCACTCTATCCTACCTATCCAATCTGTCCTATCCATCCATCCTATTTAACATTCTAACTATCGATCGATCTATCAATCGATCAGTCGATCTATCGATCTGTCGATCTATCTATCGTTCTTTCTTTCTTTCTGATGTCATTTGTTCTTTCTACCTTTCTTTCTTTCTATCTAATCTATCTAATCTATAAAAATCTATCTAATCTATCTAATCTATCTAATCGATCTGATCTATCGAATCTATCTAATCTATCTAATCTATCTAATCTATCTAATCTATCTAATCTATCTAATCTATCTAATTAATCTATCTAATCCATCTAATCTATCTAATCTATCTAATCTATCTCATCTATCAAATCTATCAAATCTATCTAATCTATCTAATCTATCTAATCTATCTAATCTATCTAATCTATCTAATCTATCTATCTATCTAATCTCATCTAATCTAATCTAATCTAATCTATCTAATCTATCTTATCTATTTGGTCTATCCTATCTATCTAATCTATCTAATCTATCTAATCTAACTAATCTATCTAATCTATCTAAGCTATCTTTGTATCTAATCTATCTAAGCTATCTTTGTATCTATCTATCTATTTATCTATTTATCTATCTATCTATAAATCTATCTATCTACCTATCTATCTATCTATCTATCTACCTATCTATCTATCTATCTCTCTATCTATCTGTCTATCTATCTATCTATTTATCTATCTATCTATCTATCTATCTAGTCTATCTAATCTATCTAATCTATCTAATCTATCTAATCTATCTAATCTATCCGTCTATCTATCTATCTATCTGTCTATCTATGTCTCTATCTATGTATCTATCTATCTATAAATCTATCTATCAATCTATCTATCTATCTACCTATCTGACCTTTCTATCTGTGTATCTACCTACCTGAACTATCTATATGTCTATCTATCTTGTCTATCCTATTTATCTGTCTATCTGTCTATCTACCTATCTATCAAAGAATCTATCTATCATTCTATGTGTTTGTCTCAAAATTTATGGCAAACTATCTTTCTATCTATCTTTCTTTTTATCTATCTATCTATCTACCTATCTATCACATGAATCTATCTATCTATCCATCCATCCATCCAATCTATCTGTCTACCTATCTGTCTATCTATCTATCTATCTATAAATCTATCTATTTATCTATCTTTCTATCTATCTATCTAACCATCAATCCATCTATCTACCCGTCTAATCTATCTAATCTATCTATCCACCTATCTATCCAACTATTTATCGGTCGATCTATCTATCTATCTATCTATCTACGTATCTATCTATCTATCGAAATCTAAATCTATCTATGTTTAAACCCATGATATCTATCTATCTGCCTGTCTATGTATCTATCTATCCGGTCTGTCTGTCTGTCTATCCATCTATCTAATCTATTCTAATCCAATCTAGTCTAATCTGTCTATCTATCCTATCTATCTGTCTGTCTGTCTATCTACCTATCTTATCTATCTATGTTCTATCTATCTATCTGTCTATTTATCTATCTATTTATCTACCTATCTATCTATCTATCTATCCATCCTATCTATCTATCTATCTACCTATCTATCTATCTATCTATCCATCTATCCGTCTATCTATCTAGCTATCTATCGATCTATCTATCTATCTATCTATCGATCTATCTATCTTTCCATCATATCTATCTACTATACTTCTATATTTCTATCTATCTATCTAAGTGTCTATCTATCTATCTATCTATCCATCTACCTATCTACCTACCTACCTATCTACCTATCTATCTATCTATCTACCTATCTATCTATCTATCCATCTATCTATCTATCTATCTAATCTATCTAATCTATCTATCTATCTATTTATCTATCTATCTATCTATCGATCTATCTATCTATCTATCTATCGATCGATCGATCTAATCTATCTATCTATCTTTCATCTATCTAATCTATCTATCTATCTATCTGACCTTTCTATCTGTGTATCTACCTACCTTAACTATCTATATGTCTATCTATCTTGTCTATCCTATTTATTTGTTTATCTATCTACCTAAGAAAAATCTTTCTACATATCTCTCTATCATAAAATACACTTCTATCTAAATAATTATCTATCTATCTAAATAATTATCTATCTATCTATCTATCTATCTACCTATCTATCTATCTATCTATCTATCTAATCTATCTATCTATCTACCTATCTATCTATCCAACCATCTATGTATCTATCTATTTCCCTATCTTTTGATCTATCTATCTATCTATCTATCTATCTATCTAGTTATCTATCTATCTAGCTATCTATCTATCTACCTATCTATCGTTGTATCTATCTATCTATCTATCTACCTATCTATCTATCTATCTATCTATCTGATCTATCTATCTACCTATCTACCTATCTACCTATCTACCTATCTATCTATCTACATATATTGATCTACTAATTTATCTAATCTATCTAATCTATCTAATCAATCTAATCTATCTAATCTATCTCATCTATCTCATCTATCTAATCTATCTATCTATCTGATCTATCTATCTATCTACCTATCTATCTATCTATCTGTCTTTCCATCTATCTATCCATCCTATTTATCTATCTAGATTTCTATCTATCTATCTATGTATCTATCTATCTATCTATCTATCTGTCTTTGTATCTATCTAAGAATCTACCTATCATTCTATGTGT